GTTTACTCGGCAAGATTAGCATCTTGTGCCTACGTATCCTGGTTAGGGGATGGAATCAGAGTAATCGTAGTTCCCCTTGAAAGGGAGGTTAGAAACTTCTTGACTGTGGTCAAGGTTTCAATGGGGAGGCAAATGTTCTTAAGGAAACGCTTACGTGGAGTGCGGCGGCTCCTATTTCTACGTTGAAATTAGTTGAATGAAATTAGGGTTAACTAGGTATTCCACGGCGGGAAACCCTAAAATGAAGTGCGACGACTCCTTGACCTAATGCTAGAGTAAAGGGTATTTTCGTCCACGGCGGGACGCCTAGTCAATTAGGGTTTTGAAATGGTCAAAGGTTAGGGTTATTGACTCGGCGGTCAAACGGCTAGACCTAATCCTTCGGAAGGGCGTTAACAGTAAATTAATGCAAATGGTGAATTATTACATGGCAGAATTGAAATTAGAGGAAAATATGAAAGTAGTAAAAAGTAAGCCGCGACGATCACTCGCGTAAATGACAAACCCAAAATGAAACAGAATTGAAAGCAATAACGATGATAGCCTCACATAAATTACAAACCAAAGTTAAACGGAATTGAAACAAACAACGACGATAACCTCGCATACATTACAAACCAAAAATGAAATGCGAAAAAGAAAGAAAAAAAATGAGATTAGTAAACAAGGACAACTGAAAATTAACGAAAGTTAGATGACAATTCTATGAGAATTGGTGGGAATTTTTATTTTAAGATTTTTAGGTCAGAAGTTTAGAACTAAGAGTGAAATGTCAGGTTTTTAGGTTAAAATATTATTAAAAAAAATCATAATTAATAGAAAATAATTTTTAAGTTCAAAATGTTAGTACTTATTTATTTATACAAAAAAAGGATGAGTTTTACTTTTAAGAAAAATAAAAAATTAGGAAGTTAATCTTAATTAAAAAATTATTAAACAAGGTTAGTAATTTTTAAAAAGAGTTTCAGTTCAAATTTGTTTTTTTTTAAATATTTTTAATTTAAGTTAAAAAAAATGTTTCTAATTAAGTTAAAAATGTTTAATTGGTTTTAATTAAGTTTTATTACTATTATTATTTCTTAAAAAGTGGTGTTAATTTAAGAAGACAGATTTAATTATCAATATTTTTAGAAGATTAAGTGTTAAAAAAAGGTTTTAAAAAAAGATTAAGTCCTAATTAATTAGAATTTATATTACAATTAATAATTAAATAAAAAAAATAAAGAAATGAAAATAATAAAAAGGGAAATTAAAAGGGGGAAAGGCATGTGATGCAGAAAGAACCCATTTAGGGTTTTCACTTTTCCTCTTCTTCCCCAATCACCGGTGGCAGCTTCCATTGTTAGAGTTTGATGGAGCTTTTCCGCTTCCATTTGCATGTTCTAAAATATTCCTTTCTTCTTCTTTCTTGCCGTCTTGACCGCATTCGTTCTCCTCTCCCTTCGAATTTGAAACAGAAAAAAAAAGAAAAACTAAATGTGACTACCGTTTGCTCACCGTTTACGGTTTGAAGCGAGTTGGTGGTTCTCGGTTGATCTGCTTTTTCTCTGATGAACGACCAATGATTTTGTTGACTGAGGCCGATGAGTTAGGTTGCCCACGGGTGGTGCTTGGCCGGCATAGAGACCTTAGGGTCTCCGTCGCCGCTGATCCGGTTCCTGGCGGACTTTTCTGGTCGCGGTTGGATATTGGTTGTGGTGGCTTTGCATGCGACAGTGATGAGGAACCAACGTTCTTCTGAGTCCTTTGTTCCTCTCTTTGGATGAGAACTCGTGGATTCGATAATGAGTTTTTTAAGGTTCTTGATGAAATCTCCGCCCTTTGTTGTTCTTATGGGTTTCCCTGCGGCCGCCGTGTTGGTTTTTTCTTCTCTAGGGTTTTCCGTCCCTCTCTTCTTATTTCTGTCCCATTCTTATATTGTTCATAAATTTTTGCTTATGGGCTTGGATTTGTTGCTTTGTTTCTTCCGATTTTTGAATTTGACTTACAGGATTTTCGGAGGCGTACGAGTTTGTTGTGATTTTGTCGCAATATTCATGGCTAGAATGTTGACGTTGTTGCGCTTTTGATGATTCTGGGCATTTATTTAATTTTCCGGATTTGCATGAACATTGTTAGATTTTTGGGTTGATTGTTGGCTTGCAGCTTTTTCGGATTTATCGTGAATTTGTTATTTGCTGCAGCGTTTGATCCAATTTTAGCCCAGAACTTTTCGGAACATTGTTGGTGGGCTGTTTGTCGAAAGCATTTTTCATGAAAAAGTGCTTTTCTCAAAAGCACTTTTCTGAAAATCACTTTTTCGGAAAAATCACTTTTAAAAGTTACTTTCTCTCTCTCTCTCTCTCTCTCTCTCTCTCTCTCTCTCTCTCTCTCTCTCTCTCTCTCTCTCTCTCTCTCTCTCTCTCTCTCTCTCTCTCTCTCTCTCTCTCTCTCTCTCTCTCTCTCTCTCTCTCTCTCTCTCTCTCTCTCTCTCTCTCTCTCTCTCTCTCTCGGATGCCTTGAATTGAACAGATTATTACCAACATATGTTATGTGTTATTTACTTTTTCGAAATTCATTTTTCTGCATTTCTATAACTATTAAACCATAAAAATAAAAGAGATATTCATATGCAAAAATAACCAAATAATTTCATAAATCCTAATTCAACACCCCTCTCTCTCTCTTAGGTTGCACACTCATACTTATAAAAAGTAGTGAAAAGAAAAGAAAATAGTAAAGTAAATAACCCAAATAAAAGAGATAAAGTTAGAAGGATGGTACCAGAGAGTTAATCATGGTTTTAATATAAAGTCATTACCAATCATCAAGAGATTATCATAATAGATTATATACTTGATTAAGCATATCTAAACGATTATGCATATAATCAATTGATTAGACAATTTAAAAAAATTCTCCCAATTAAGCTGACAGTCCCCTAATCAACTAGTTATGTCTTAAGAACAATTTTAGGTGATTTTAATGTTGAGTAAAAGACGCTTAAAAATATTTAATGTGTGTGAGTGTGTGTGTGTGTGTGTGTGTGTGTGTGTGTGTGTGTGTGTGTGTGTGTGTGTGTGTGTGTGTGTGTGTGTGTGTGTGTGTGTGTGTGTGTGTGTGTGTGTGTGTGTGTGTGTGTGTGTGTGTGTGTGTGTGTGTGTGTGTGTGTGAGTTGTCTTATTGTCTTAGTATTTAATCTCCTTCTATCATAAGACTCTAATCACTTCTATAAAAACGACCAGACGAGTTTTCACACTTCCTCTCTTTCACAGCTCTTAAGCTTTCAAATTCTTTTGCTAGATATCCCAATAAAATAAGAACTTTAATGGAACCTTAAGTATTCTACTTGACGAGGCTTGAGATATCTTTAAATTAATCGCCATCATTAAAGAGTTGTAAGGACATCATAATCAACTTCAACATTTATCAACATTTTCATCATCAAAACATCAAGACAGTTGTCATTCGCAGGGTCATCATCTTTATTTCTGCAAGCAGATAGCTCCACACAAAAAAACTCAGAGAAGCTTTTTGACCATATATTGACACTTAGATTGAAAATGTTATTAAACATAACGTTTTGGCTTCACCGAAGCGGCGGGGTGGGGGGGGGGGGGGGATATCTCTCATCTTTAACCCTTGTGAATGATTGGCTCGAGGAATTATAGAGAAAGGAAGACTAGGAGAAAACGGTGTAAGACCTCAAAAACATCATAAATTATATTCTAAGAGTACACCTAATTAAGGCGCATGATTGGATAAATGCATTGGGATGAAAAAACGAGTAAAAAAAAATACATTTTACCCAAACAATGAAGGTTTTGGATATTTTAAACAATTTAATCAATCTATAAAGGGAGGATAAACTTTGTAATCAAGGTTCACATTCTCTAAAGCCTAAAATGTTTTTCCTCTGCTTTATTAAGTCACTAACTTAGGCATCATAATGTCTATAGGCACCAACCCATAATGTCGGTCATAACCCTAACTAAGAAAACACTATTGAAACCCACCATCTCACCAAAGTTAAGCCTCTCATCAGGATTTTTCAGGCTCAAATCGGATCAATAACATTGATGGAGTTGTCCTTGGTAGCCAAAACCCTATTGTTTGTATCAGCATATATAAAGATGATTTTGATGCTACTTTGAGTAATTTTTCTCAAAGTCATGGAATTTTTATTGTTCTTCATGTTGAGCTTATTCGTTGGATGTTGGCCATTAGGATTTCTTATAAGAAAGAGATGCATTCATTCTAGATAGTATCCGACACAAATCTAGCCAATATGACTTTCAAGAACCATAACATTGTTCCTTGTTGCTTAAGGAATAGTTAGAATAATAGTTTGGTTTTGGATACACGAGTTACATGCATTATGTCTCATATATATCTATCGGGAGTGAATCAATTTTGATGACATGTTAGCTAATCTTGTGCTATCTTTGACATCCAAGGTGGGACATGATTCCCCATAGTGTGTTATATATGTTTTTACTCTAAATAAATTTGAACTACCTAATTAAAATGTAACGCTTCTTTCTTAACACATACTCTTTTTTCCTGTTTTTATTTTTAATTAAAAAACACAATAGAAAATATATAGATGAAAATGCACTGAAATGCGTAATTAAAAAAATTGATTTAATAATATTAAGTAATTCAAATATTCAAATATTTTATAAAAATACAAGATTCATTTTATAAGCAACATTTTATTCATGGGGAGCAAACTAGCACAAGATCTGTTATGCAAATTCTCTGCTAAATAAACACACAATTACAAAGTTATAAAGAAAAACTATTATCAAATCAAAGTAACACAACACATAAAGAAAAACCAAGTGGCATCCACAAAACAATGCACATTACAACACCGGATAAAACAAACATACCATCTGTAAAAAATTCAAACCAATTTATTCTTCCACGTCTAAAGCAATATGATAAGTTAATGCTATTATGCATAAAGTGATCCTCATATGTCTCTGGAAGCAAAATTATGCATAATTTCTAAAATTCTAAAAACTTAATCCATGTTTAACCAATTTCTTTTCTGTGATGGTGTTTATATGCTCAATCATTTCGGTTGTAAGAAGATTCTTCCAATCTCCAACTTGACCAAGACGGAAAAAAGATTTATTTTCAATGTCATAAGATATTTTTCCAGTCTTGTTAACTTCCAAGTTACTCAACTTCTCAAAACTACACAAATCTAAAATATCATCAACCACGCCTTTGGATTCTTCTTCTTGGGAAAATGGACACTCCAAAAACTTAGCAATTTCTATCAAATAAAAATATGGCTTCATTTTCATTTCTTCATATTTCAAGAACATTACATTCTTTGAACTTTCCAGGCTTTTCTTCCAATATCCTAATACATGCTCCCAAAAAGGCCCATAAGGATTCACTCCTCTACAAAAACTCTCAAAAGCTTCTTCTAATGGAAGTGTTCCACTACTTTGTGATCTAAGTTTGTTTACGAAATGCCAATATGAAACAAAACTATCTTTAGGATCTCTACAGAGATACACCACTTTGCATGCTGAGTCTTTCACAGATTTTGGTAATGATTCATAAGATAGATGAGTAGAGAAAATTCTTGGAGGAGGTAGTGTTTTGAGATCCGGGACAAAATCTTTGTCATAGTAAAGGCCAATCTCCCAAAATGGAACAAGCTCATGTGGGTTTGTAGTGAGCAAAGGATGATTGCTATGAATATTTGGATATTTATTGCGGTTTATCAAAGCAAAAGACAATGCTTTGAGCCAAGTGGTACCTGATTTGGGACAAGTGACTAAGATAATATCAGTATCAAGGGCTTGAAAGTTCTTTTGACAAGATAAAACACCTTGGAGACTCTTGGGAGCAAACCAAAATCCTTGATATTGATGTAAGCGAGTTGTAATCCAACCTTTTTCTGATGGCAATGTGGTTATCAACTCCTCACATTCTTCGCCTAACTCACATTCTTGCAAGTATTTTGGTACATCTTCATCACATAATTTTTCCATGGTGTATAGTATAATCAAAGTTTTAATATGGATAGTTAGACTCAAGATACAAGTATTTTTTGGTTGGTTGTGATTGAGAGATCCTTGAAGTTTGCTTTATATATATATATATATATATATATATATATATATATATATATATATATATATATATATATATATATATATATATATATATATATATATATATATATATATATATATATATATATATATATATATATATATAGTGGCAACAGAACGGTAAAATATATATAGTACATGTCTTGAACCTTTTGATATTTGCATGTGCCAAAGGTGACTTGATGGCGAAATCAGAAAAGTAAGTGGAACAGACCACTATAGCTTGTTTGATTCGATTTCAATTTTTTGTTTTTATAAGATGTTTTATGAATTAGTTTTAAGAATTGTTTTTAGGATGAAAATAAAATAAAAATCCATTTGGAAGCTGTATTTTGTAAAACTGTTTTTGAGATAATAAAAGAAAAAACTTGTTTGATTGATTTGTTTCTAAAAACTAATTAAAATATTGTTTGATATTTATTTTTAGAATACTGTAATTATAAGTAAATGATAAAAAAATTATTTCTATTAAATAGTTATTATAAAAAAAGTTACAAAATCATTTTCATCAATCTGTATAATAGTAATCAATTATGTATCAATTAAATTTATTTATTTTTTAATTTTAACAATTATTTTATAATTGAGAAAAGAGATGATATAACGACAATGTAAATTAATTTAATATTATCAATCAATAATAAAAATGTATTTCGTCAAATCAGATTGAAAATTTTAAATTATTTATATGATATGACATAGTGATATATTCCTATTAGATTATAGTATAAAATTCTTTTAGTTTATCGGTGTATCTCCATTAAATTTTTTATAATATATTTTTATTTATCGTAAAATATATTTTGCAAGTTAATTTCATTTGGATTATATGTTTTACTTGTGTTTTTGTTAGTTTTAATTTTTTTTTAAAGGAGAAAACTTTACAAATTATTAATATACAATTTTTTATTTGTTTTCTATGAGTTAAATATTTTTGAATATAATTTCACGGGCTGTCCACGTTAAAAAGATAAACATCACAAAATAAATATATAAAAAATGAAAATTAAATTTTATTAAAAAATAAAAAGTAGAAAAACATATTTTCTATTTGCAGATTCATATTTAACAAATCAATATAATTATGATCATGTCATTAATGAAAATTTACAGTTATATGTGTTTTCAGTTTTGGTGTTTTAGAAACTTAAAAGTAAAATTCAAAAGCAAAATAGTTTTTACAAGTTTTAGTTTTTTAGTTTTTAAAACTAGAAAAACAAAAACAATTTTCAAAATTATTTAATTTTTTAATTTTTAAAAACTAAAACTATTTTTTAAAGGGAATCAAACAGGCATAGGTCACTGCAAATTCGAAGAAGCTATATTTGATTATTGTTGAAAGTTATGAAAAATACAATTGATATCCTTTTGAACTAGAAGAGTGCACTTGTTGCAAATTAGAGTTAAAAAAATTGATATGATGTGATGCACATGAGTCTACAAACCAGGTTTCAGATTCAAGTCCATGTTGAATTTGCAACATGTCTTGATGAGCTAGCAATGCAGTGGCTATTGGTGATTTTAGTATCATCAATGTATTTTGGTAGTTAAGCTTGGAAACGAGTTAGGGTAGTGCGGAGTGCATGCTCGTCGCGCCAACGTGTGATTGAATGTGAATAATTGAAAAGGGGTTCCAAGGGGCGAAGCCCCTGGCGGGGTGCGGGGTGGGGTTCCAAGGGGCAGAGCCCCTGGCTGGGGTCCCGCTGAACCCGTTCGAAATTTTTGAACAGTTGTGTCTTTTCGGTTTTTGTTATTAATCTCCTATATAAGGAGTCATTTGGCCTCAGTTTTAACATACAAAAAACAAAAATCATATTTTCTCTCTACATTCCTGATCTGTTCTCTATTGCCAGAAGCAGATTTTTCTTCAAGAATTATCCCCACAAAGATTTCGTGAACCCAGGAAAATAATAGGGTCTAAATACTTTGTTCAGAAAGTGTACGAACACGATTCCTCGAAGTTATCCAGGATTATCATACTCAAATTTCTAACAGTGGCTTATGTGGAATTCGCTCATTGACTTGATTGTCTCGACTGACCTTGATCATTAACACCTTGAGTAATTTCTTGAGTGTGGTGTTTGTTTGATGTTGGTACAAACTTGTTGCATATTTAATAGGTTGACCTAATTTTTGTGCCATTTGTTTGCTTGCCACGACCACAACCTCTTTAGTGCTGCAAATTCCCATTACCAGTTTCAATTTTGGCAAAAAAATTGTGTTCATAACATTCGCTATATTTACTGTGGCACATGGAGTTGTGAGTTCTTGATGATACCTATCAATTTATTTTAGTCTTTTGCACATAGAGAAGTACTTCAACATCATAGATATATGTAGGTTCAACTATGAAATATATTACCATGATAAACAGATTATATTCTTCAGGTAAACCTTTAAGAATTGCATCCACTTGATCTCTTTCAGAGGTTGGGTCACCGATAACAAGTAAAGAACAAGTAATAGCTCTAATTTGAAAAACATACTCAAATATGGTCTTGTTACCTTTCTTGATCATTCTGAATTCAGCACGCAATTGATGAACTATAGATTTCATTTGAGCGTGAAAATACTTGTGTTGTTTGTCCCGTATCTCAAAGGCATGCTTGAAGAAACAAATATTGGTAAAACAACTTAGAAATTGTTGATACAAACCATGTGAAGAGTGCTTAATCTTGAACGATCCATGTTTCATGTTTCATGCTCTTCTAATACTGTGGATTCACATCCACCTTGTGCAATTTGTGCGATAACAACACACCTTCTCTCTACTGATTCAATCATTTCGGTTGTAAGAAGATTCTTCCAATCTCCAACTCGACCAAAACCAAAAACAAATTTATTTTCAAGGCCAGTAGACATTTTTCCAGTCTTGTTAACTTCCAAGTTACTCAATTTCTCAAAACTACATAAATTTAAAATATCATCAACCACACCTTTCATTTTTCTTCTTGAGAAAACGGACACTCCAAAAACTTAGCAATTTCTTTCAAATAAAAATATGGCTTCATTTCATTTCTTCATATTTCAAGAAAATTACCTTCTTTGAACTTTCCAAGATTTTATTCCAATATCACTATCATATACTTGAAAATGCTTTTGACAAAATAAAGTACCTTGGAGATTCTTTGAAGCAAACCAAAATTCTTGATATATATTGATATAAGTGAATTGTAATCCAACCTTTTTCTGATGGCAATGTAAACTCCTTACATTCTTCGCCTTAGTCATATTCTTGAAAATATTTTAGTACAAGAGTGTTTTCATCACTTAATTTTTTCATGGTGTATACTATATTCAAGGTGTTAACGTGGGTGGTTAGAGTCAAGATAGAACTTCCTTTTGGTTGGTTATGGTTAAGATCCTTTCACTGTGTGAATATTAGGGTTGTTCAAAAAATTCATCAACCGAATTAAAATGTCGAACTGAAGTTAAAATAATTGAATCATTATGTTTGGTTAGTAAATGAAATCATATTACACGAAATAATTTTAGAATCGTATCAAATAAAATCGAACCGAACCGAAATTGTAACCGAACTGAATCGAAACTAAAAATTAAAAATACTAAAAATAAATTTATTTTAAAATTTTGAAAAATAGTTTAATGGTTCAGTTCTTTAACAAATAGTTCGATTTGAAAAAATTGTCTTTCAATGATTTAGAATTTTTAAACGGTGTGTCGAACCAATGACTTTAGTTCGGTTCGGTTCTAGTTCAGTTCGAGTAAATTTTTATTATGCTTTGGTTCGGTTCGGTACAGTTTCTATGAACAATCTAGTGAACATATATATATATATATATATATATATATATATATATATATATATATATATATATATATATATATATATATATATATATATATATATATATATATATATATATATATATATATATATATATATATATATATATATATATATATATATATATATATATATATATATATATATATATATATATATATATATATATATATATATATATATATATATATATATATATATATATATATATATATATATATATATATATATATATATATATATATAATTTAACATCAAATTTTATGTAATGCATATAAGAAAAATCATTTTTTTTTGTGTTGTAATACTTCTTGTTGTAATTTTTGTATTCTGGTGAAGCTAGACAATAAAAAAGGTTAAATTCGTTGTTAATTTAAAAAAAACATTAACTTTGAAAAATTAAAAAATTCATATAAATTTTTTAGAGTTTTTTTTTTTTAGAATAACTAAAGTATTGAAAAGAAATACCAAACAAATTAAGAGTTGAAATAATTTCTCAAAATGGCTAACATTTAACTTTGGATCGCCAAATGGATTGACGAATCTTCCTAAGTCCCAAAAAATTCGTCATTTGGGTTGGCGAAACTGTTTCTGGTTTTCAAGGATTCGCCAATTGGATTGGCGAATCAGCCCAATTTTTTTTTCCCGTTAGGGTTTGCCATTTTTAGTTTCTATTATTTTGTTTCTTATTTTTATATTTTTTGTTTTTCATAATTTATATAAAAAAGTGGATAGAATTTAAATAATTTAAATAATCTAAAAAAATAAATGGAAGAAAAATTAAAATATATTAATTTATAATAGAATATAAATTACAATTGATAAAAAAAAATTAATGGTCGGCCCTATCTAAACGACCACCGGTATCACATTGTGGAGGATGCGCGCAACGACAAGGTCTACCACGAGGTTGTTGAGGTGTGTCCGGTCTTTGGGTGTTGACTTGTGGAAGAGGTATTTGTTCGGACGGCCCCGGCGTATCAGATAAATTTTGAAGCATTTGACCCCAATAGCCGGAGGTCCACTATCAACGGCGCTTCCGTAGTTAAGCCCAATGTCCATGTGTTCG